TCCTCAAATAGCTTTGAGATCAGAAACATGTGTAACACCATGGTGTGCAAGTTTATGCCCCTTCTCTGACTCTGGGAACCCCACAGAATGACTTGTTTGTTTTCTGAGGATGGCTATCTCTGCTTTCACACTCTCTAGAAATTCCATAGCATAGTTTAGAAAACTAGAGATGAATGTACAATGGAGGTATTTCAAGAACCCTAAAAATGTGAACTATTTTCCTACTCACCTTCAGTGATGTGTTGCAGGTTTACATAAGGAGTCCCAATTATGAGAGTTAGTCCTTGTTTGGTTGGAACCTTGTATGACATTCATCTGATTAGGACTGTGCGTAGTGATTTATTTTCAGCAAGGGTACATGGCGTGACGTGGTGTCATTATTCAACATCTCATTTGAGCCCTGGCTGATGACTTGCAGCTATTATGCACAGGTCCTTAGCATATCTGATTTGCTTTCCCAACAGTTGATCTTCTTCATGACTACAGAACAAATAGAACTGCATAAAGATTGTGGACACAAAAATACCACTCACGCCTTTTCCTTCAATATTTATCTTATTCTTGGGCCAAATTTTATTCAGTTGCACAAAGTATGCACATTTTCCTTTAGTTGCTAGGAGTTTTAGTTACGTGTATTTAAGAAAAGCTGAGAATAAAGACAAGGCATTCCACTCCCTGGTGTTGCTTTTCTCTGTTTCCAAACTCTTGTGCATGTACTTGCTCAGGCGGCTTCAGGCAGCCGTGTGAACTCTGGGAAGAGCTGGACCTGAGTTTCATTCTGCCATGGACTAGCTGTGTGATCTTGAGCAAGTTGTTCAGTCTCTGGTGGGCTTCCAACTTTATAAAAAGGACCATTTAAGAACATTTACTCTGATAGCATGCATTAGGCAATTGCCTACCTATTGTTTTGAAACCCATGAATTGCAAGGAAAATATAGGGATGTTTCTCTTTCTATTTTCATTTTCACATTCTATGTCTCTTGACAGATTTTGGAATAGAATTTAGTTATTTATTTTCATCTTTTCCCGTGAAATCCCTTTCTAACCATCACCATGTATTTATGGTTTGATGGATGGTACATTTCCATCTGTGAACCTTTTCTTCTGAACATTTTAATTATCATTATCTCATCTCCTCATCTTTCTTCCTCTTCTCCTGGTCCTCATCCTCCTCACTCTCCTCGTAATGCTTTTCATCCTTCTCCTCCTCTTCTTCCTCCCTGCATTCATCATTCCTTCTCTGTCTCTCTTCTTTATTTCCTCTTTCATATCATGGTTTTTCTTCCCTCATTTCAATCTCTGCTTTGAAAATATCAAAAGTTAACTACATTTAAAAATTAAATTCTTTCTTCTTCATGGCTATATCTCAGTCTCATTCTCGAACATGTGCTGTTTCTTGTCCAGAGAGACCGTTCATCCACTCACATGACTTGACCAATGCTTGTGAGCCTCAGTGGCTTCCCAATGGCTGACCCCAGTAAGTGAACCTTTCTTCTCACCATGCAGGATGAATGAATGAGTAACACCATATGCACTTCGTGGCTCACAGGGTACATCTTTACAGTGCTACACATGGATCCTTACGATTCTTTGATACAATCCAGGTGAGTTTCAATTTGATCCATTTACTCAATAATGGAACAGAGCCTGAGTAAAGCTATGAAACTGCCAAAGTCATACAGCCCCTAAGTGATCAGGAGGGGATATGAACTCATGTCTTCAGGCTCTACATCTAGACTCTGCCATGGAAGGCTTCTGTTATACTTTATGAATCAGCAGACAGATAGAGTGAACACAGAAGTGTTTAGCTTTCAGTGCATACTGGAATCTGTCTCATGTTGAACCAAAGGAGCTGGCATAGAATAGGGACACATTAGCCAGTCAGTGGATATATGGAGCCCTCTGCCACAACTAAAAGAGACATCATCCACTAAGCAGCTGGGACCCCAGCCACTGTCTGAGACCCTAGCCATTGTCTCATTATCTTCACTCCCTCATTTTTACCACTATCTTCACTTACTAGACAGCGACTGAGCCAGTGACATTTCCTCAAGTGCTCCCTGCAGATTGTGGCTATTCTTTATCTTGTAGGAGGTTAAAAAACCAAAACAGTGATCTCAGGGTGGAGGATGTCTGTTTGTAGCTCATCCTTTCCTGAAGGGAAGTGAAACTCCCACTCAGGAGTTGGTTTTAACATCAAGTAGCCTCAGGACTGACTTTTAATGTGAGAATCTTCCTGAGCTGCTCTGGTAACAAATCACATGAGCATACAGTTGTGGCACAAACATCAAAACAATTTTCTGAGAACTGTCCAACATGGCTATTGAAGAAGAATCATCCATTAAATTAGCATCTACCAACTGGAGCCAAGTAATAGAAGGTCATTGTAAGATTGGATTTAGATGTCCTCTAAACTCTGTTTCAAATAACATTCTGGTCCAATTATGACATGATCTTCCTGTATCTTTCCAAAGCAATTAATGAAGCTCTGAAAATTTCCTAAATATGGATGACTGCCATCTGTCTGCCTGCAGCGTAAGCACTTTTGTGCATCCTGATTTATTTTTAGTGCTATCAACAGTTGTCATTTGCCCTCAAAGAGGGATTGCATAATTCAAATGTTTGGGTGGGTAGCTCCTCTGCCTTATCATCTTGGAGGAGGCTGGGGAAGTGTCCTTTATTTAGGTGCCCTGGCATGGCTGACATTTTCGTAGCGGACTCTAGGATGGGCTGCAGAGAAAGATCAGCTGTGACAGAGGCAACAGTTCTAAAAGGAAACAAGAGGCACAATCTTCAAAGGCATTTGTAGTCCCCACTACACTGGAATACCTGACTGCATTTAATTCTGACAGCTGTGAAAGTCCCCCCACATTTATTCTTGTCTCCTATCGAGAGTGAGGGGATGGGCTTACCTCCACCATGATGCTGCGCTAGCACCATAACAAAGGGACCAAGAGGAAATGTGTTTACCACTTTTAGGTCTCTCGAGTGGCAGCTTGCATGGCTTGTTGGCTTGGGTGGCTTACGAGCAAAGTCTTGTCCCCAGGTACAAGGTTGTCATGGCTGCTCCTTGGTTGTTTTTCTCCTTGTGTGGCCTTGGACCTGCCCTTGCAGACACAGAGCCTCCTGGGATCCTGGCTCTGGGAGAACCTGGTCTCAAGGGACATGGACTTGAGGAATTTCCACCTGAGTGATGCCGTCGGTCTCTGCCCAGTGGGTTTCTGCACCAAAAAAGGTGAATGCTGGGGGGGATGTAGTAGGACTCGAGGATGCGGGAGGTGCACAGAATGCAGGAGGCCGGCAGGTGTAGCTTGAGAAGGAGACAGAGAAGAAGTGAAACAGAAATTCCAGAAGAGGAAGCCTGGAATAGGACATAAAATACCTCACAAGTGGGTTTTATTTTCAAAATCAAGGTCATGATCAAATGTACAACGAATAATTTGGAGTGAAGGTCATGTGACAGAGCCTATCTCAGCCTCGGTTCTTTTTTATTCTTCTGAAACATCTTTTTATTAAACAGCAAAGCAGAAATGCAACACAATTTTAAATATTTGTAAAATTAGGTCACAAAAGGGATGCAAAATGTTTGCACTATGACTATTACATCTTCATATAGTTAAAGTCATTCATCAAATCTTATACTAACACATAAGATTATCCCATGATTAAAGTAGTTCAAATCTAATAACCATAAGCTATATTAGTGGATCTCTTTTCCTAGTATAATATCTTAATATTACCTCTGATATTGATTCCTTTACTAAATGGAATCTATGAACTAAATTTTTTAGAAATTGTTAAAAGAATGAGTAAAATTCTACAAACCAATTAGTTGAATTTACAGAGAGAGATAAAAATACTGAGCTTACCAATTATTATACATATAAAATTCTCTCCTTCATGATTCTAATACTAGTACACTCTTCAAGGAATTTGGTAACAGTTAATTGACCAGGTACAACAAATAAACCTTGCAACCAAGTCCTAGAGCTGGAATAGCATAGCATGTGGCATATGTAAGACCAGCCAAACTTAACCCATTTTCATGTATTTATATATATATTCCCTGGAAGATCTGTGCCAGAGACAATACAAATCTGGAGTGAAAACATTTGGAGTAGGTTGCTACATTTATCACATTATTTTTTACCTATTTCTATTTATTCCTCCCAGATTTTCTACTTCTAATCGATACATAACCAAAATTCTTATCTTTTCAGATAGCAAGTGGGTTATTGGTGCAAAAGCAAGTTGGTTTTTTGTTTTTAAACAAATCCCAATTTGATAATTTAGTTTCTAATTAAAATCCTCTTTATAGCCCAAATCTGTTTTCAGTGGTTAAAGAGAAACTATCATCAGTCCTATCTTATTACTAGAAAGTACAACTGACAAACTTTAGGCAAGGTTTTGGTTAACTTCAGGACTTACAGATCAGGTTACTGTCAGGTGATTACTACTCAAAGTACTTTTACAAATGTGAAACTATCTTGACTTAGGAGAAGGGAAATGGGGAGGATGAGGCAGATGGAGGAGAGGCACACAATGGCGGACAGGTACATACATAAAGCTGTGCATTCAATACATGATTTTGGTCACATTTTCACAACATGGTTATTTTCTTGTATATCTTACTAAGTAAGCGTGTAGTAAAAGACATTGCTAAGCCTATATATCAAAGCAAATTCAATAAAACATTCATCTTCAAGTTTCATAAATATATGCAATTCTAATTATAAAGTCTCTACAATACATCTGCACATTTTCTTAGACTAACATAACACACAGACTCATGGAAGTCTCCTGTTAAGTAGTTAATTTTGCCTAGATTTGACACTTTCATAGTTATTCAATGAAGCCACAAACAAAGGTAGTGTAACTTTTGGAATCTACTCAAGTTTTAAAGGGGGGAGAAAGGTAGGGAAGGGGAAGGGATGGAGAGAAGGAAAGGGAGAGAGAGAGGGAGAAAGAAAAGCAGCAATTCCGTAAATGAACTCAATCCCTTACTTTCTTTTGCTTTTCGTGTCAGTTGTTTGGAAAACACTAGAAGCAGACATGAGGCTTTCTATATATTGTCCAAGAACTTGGTTTTCTGATTTTAGCTTCAGGTTTTCTTCCTTAACTGCATCTACTCTTGCTGAGAGATCTTCAAGTGTGTGTGGGAGTTCCAACACTTGATTAATAAGTCCTGTTTTTTCCTCCAGTTCCACCTGATTTTCAGCATCAACTGCATCCATGTCAGCGTTCATCATCCTGGGCACTGAACTGTGCCTCGGACAGAAAAATCCTGATGAATGGTCATCAGAGGCGCAGGAGGGGCGGGATCCCGAGATCACACCTCTGGCCGGGGACTCCAGCACCGACTCACACCATCAGCTCTGCCCTCCTCCTCAGCCTGGGTTCTTTGTCCTTTGATGACCACATCTGCTGTCATGAGTCTGTGGAAAAGTTGCCAGGCTGTTGTCTGTCTGTCTGTTGGGAGGGAGGTGCATTGTCCCCTTTGCTAGGACTCTGGAGGCCCTGTGTGGTTTTTTGCAAAGGGCCTGTTAGAATGGCCTAGCAGTTCTCTGCTTGGGGGTTGTATGAGCAACGGTGCATGGCTAGCTTTTCCATTCTTGCTTTTAGCTAAAAGCTCTTTAATAATACTGTTAGCCAAGTGTTGGTGGCTATGTCTGCAATCCTAGCTACTCAGGAGGCTGAGGATCTTGGTTCAAAGTCAGCCCAGACAAGAAAGTCTCCAGTTAGCCAGAAAGAAAGCCAGAAGGGAGCTGATGCTCAAGTGGTAAAGCACCAGCCTTGAGCAACAAAGCAGTGCCCAGGCTAGACAAGAAAGTCTCCAGTTAGCCAGAAAGAAAGCCAGAAGGGAGCTGATGCTCAAGTGGTAAAGCACCAGCCTTGAGCAACAAAGCAGTGCCCAGGCCTGGAGTTTAAGTCCTACTCATGGTGAACACACATAAAATATTTATACTGTTCTTATTCTCATATGAAATTCAGACTTATTTTTCTTTGCTATTACTGTGACTTTTTCTTAATATTGAGCCGGTAGTAATGTTATTAGCATTTGTTAATTATAAGCTTTTAATGATCATCACATAAATTCTAAAGCAAAGTGATTATTTTTTATTCATGTATATCATTTCCTAGAAGCACATAAAAAAGAATGAAAGAACGCAAAAAGCAAATGATATTTTAGTAACCATCACACTTTCTCCCCACGTAACTATTCACAGTGGAATCAGCTGCTGATGTTGACTTTGTCAACATTTAGTAAAACGTGAAGGTTTCCTTTCAACCTGAGTCAGAATGAACTGAATCAGCTCTGGCCACGACATCCAGGGGAAAGAACGCCGTTCAATCCACACCCTTCTACTCAAAGGTAAAAAGGGAGCTTTGCTTCTGTTAGGGCTTTGGACCAAGAAAAGCCAAATTTAATATTTCCATTAAAGGGTTTGAAATTTTTATTCATGTAAGAAAAATGTCTTTGCTGCAGCACAGTTTGAGGTAATAAAGAACAATCTGCAGAAAACTCTGAATTTCAAGCCGTTTTTGAAGGGACCCGTTTCCACTGGCAAGTTTGGCAGCGCTTGCAAAAACCTGTGAGAGTTTGATCTGAAGTCTGCAAAAGTGAGCAAATGCAGTCATTGTGTTTAATGTACACTAGGTTAAAAATAACTGCTGCAACTTGTGTGTGGGCATGGGAGTGGGAAAATGGAAAGAGGGACGGGTGATGATATCTGACTTACGGAATTGCCAGCCCTTTGTACAATTACTTATAGCAACAATAAAAAAGAAATCACAAAAAAGAAATACTAGGGTAATGATAATCTGTCCACTTCTATGGACCTATTTTCGCGTCTGTTAAAAAATACAATAACACTTGGGGGGAAATCTGTAAAGGTGAAATGGGTCCCAAGTTCTTGAAGTCAGCCAGGGGGGAAAGTTGATCATAAGGGAGGCTTGCAGCCATTCTATGGTGGGAGAGAGGGGTCATATCCCAAGTCCCATGAAGGGAAGTCTTGTTTAAGACTCGTGAGCAGACAGGAAGGGTGACAGAGGTAAAGATGGTAGAAGAGGCCATGAGACTCCCCAAAGTGGAGAGAGGGATGCAGAGAGAAACAAGATGGGATTTTAAGACAGGCATCCCAGGCTGTGGATTTCAGTGAGGAAGAGCTGAAGAGGGGCACTACAAAAATGGAAGTGGGGCCCCAGGAAAGGAAATGAAAAAAGGAGAAAAATCATAGTGATATGAGAAGGCTCTCTAGTGAAGGGCTGTTTAGGAAGAAGCCATATCACAGTTCACGAGAGGAGCTGCCCAGCAAGATCATACGTCTGCTAGGACCATCTGTGCAGGGGTCTTAAACACACCAGTGGCAGGAATCCAGGACACACATCTTTGGCCATTTAAACTCCTAAAAAGAAGGTATTTGTGTGGCGTTTTAAGCTTATTCCTATAACTTTGTCCTAAATACATAGCCAGTCCCTGCCAGAGAAACCCAGTGGTGACTCTATCTAGTTAGAAAAATAATTAAAATACTCTTTATTACCTTCAAATGGAAGAATTGAACCTGAGAGATAGGGAGTCCTAACCGTAGAAATATATGGTAAGAGTCATAAAAGAAATGCAAATCAAAACAACATTGAGATACCACCTCACTCCAGTTAGAATGGCTAAAATCAAGAACTCTAATAACAACAGATGCTGGA